AAGCAATCGTGCCCGGCCTAGGCAAACAGCAGTCTACTTTGTTGACCAGACAAAACTGTACTGAGTTGCCTGCAGGAAGGGTGGAAGCCCAGAGAGCCCCTGGGCCTCCCATCTTGCCCTGCCCTGCTCTGCCCATGTCGGGAGGGGAGCCAAGCTGCTCTACACTCAGGGACCGGTGGCGCAGTTGAGACTGGGGCTGTGACACCAAGGTCAAGCCACAGGGGTCAAGGGACAGTCTGCCTATCAACTGGCTCTTCCCATTGTCCTGCCTGCAGCCAGGCAGGAGGCCAAGGAGTCTTCTGGGGGCAAGCTACCTTCCCACAGCTACTGAGCCTCTCCAAGCCAAAAGGCTTGTCCCCACATTCAGTGGCCATGTACCCTTTCAGTATGGCACTGCTAATGCGAAGGGACAGGTAAGGAGAGCCTGCCACATAAAAGACAGAGCCCCAAACAAACAGAAGAGTCCTGAGGAAACAGCATAGAAAAAGGAGTCTTTCTTTTATTTGAGACAGGGTCTCACTCTGTTGCCCAGGCTGGAATGCCAGTGGCGTGATCATGGCTCACTGCAGCGCTGACCTCCCAGGCTCAGGTGATCCTCCTGCCTCAGCTTCCTGAGTAGCTGGGACTAAAGGTGCGCACCACTACACCTGGCTAATTCTTGATTTCTTTGTAAAAATGGTGGTCTTGCTATGTTGCCCAGGCTGGTCTTGAACTCGGCCTCACGTGATCCTCCCACCTCAGCCTCCCAAAGTGTTGAGATTACAGGCGTTGGCCACCGCACCCAGCTGAAAAAGGAGTCTTTTGAGAGAACTGTAACTCACGCTCTTGGGGAACAGTAAGATACTACACCCATATGACAAGGTTAAGAGAAAGGGAACACTGACAGAATAAGAAGGAACGCTGACTCCAAACATGTGACAGCTTCAATACAAGGGACTGAACTAGAGGAGGCACGGAAGAGCTTGAGGTAGAACACTCAAGGGAGGCAGCAGCAGGGAAGGTGGCCCCTGCTGGCCGCATCACCAGGGCAGGCTTCCAGAATGCATCATGCATGCGCTGGAGCCTACGGGACAAGCTGGGATTTGTGGAGCCCAGAGGAGCCGTCGGAAGAAAAGCCTTAGGAAAGAGAGCAGAAACGCTGCCGCTGGAGGGCAGACCCTGAATGGAAAACGCAATCAGCTTGGAAAAAGGATCCTGATGAGCCTCAGAGACCAGAATGTGATTCAGGGTGATGCAGCATGTTTGTGGTTTCTGTAGGGAAATGTGTTCTACCTTGTAACTGGGATAGAAAGGCACATTTCATCTCCACCCTGTATTTCCTGCCAAGTCAGCCCTTGGTTTTGATTCCAGGGTGCCCTGACCAGGGGAACTGCCAAAGGGCTGCAGGGCCTGCTTTTATGAACAGATAGAGACCCTTCTGGTCCCTTCTATCGTTATGTGCTGATACTGAGCACATAACCGAGGCTGTGAGGAAACGCTGGGGAACACCCTGCTTACAGTTTAGGAACGAGGGCAAATCTCATCTTGCTCAGCAGCTCATCCTCCTGGAGCATGACCAGGGCCACAGGGTACATCTGATCAAAGTCGAAATTAAATTGCACGCCGGCCGGAGGGTCACGAAGGAAATTCCTCTTGTCCTTTGATAAAAAAAGAAAAAAACACAGGGTATTCCACAAAATGCGATTAATATGTAACAATGTTTTTTTGTTTTTGTTTTTTTGAGACAGAGTCTTGTTCTGTCGCCCAGGCTGGAGTGCAGTGGCACAGTCTCGGCTCTCTGCAACCTCTACCTCCTGGGTTCAAGCAATTCTCCTGCCTCAGCCTCCCGAGTAGCTGGGATTACAGGCATGTGCTAGCATGCCTGGCTAATTTTTGTATTTTTAGTAGAGATGGGGTTTCGCCATGTTGACCAGGCTGGTCTCAAACTCCTGACCTCAAGTGATCCACCCACCTCGGCCTCCCAAAGTGCTGGGATTACAGGTGTGAGCCACTACATAACAATTTATCATAGACTGGAGAAGTATTACATTCTTTCTTTATTTTGAAACAGTCTTGCTCTGTTGACCAGCAGGAGTGCAGTGAGACTGTCAAAAAAAAAAAAAAAA